GTGACACGCATATTATGAATATTATAATTATATAATGCATTAGATTCTTCAGTGTGAATAAATAAGTAACTCTCTTAATAGGGGCCCGATTTGGATCATTGAAAATTCGTACTAAAGCGAGTGATTTTGTCCAAAAATCGTATTTTGCAAAATTGACATCGATGGGGAAACTTGAAAGTCGAAAAGTCGATTTGTCAAGATAAACGTTATCAATGTTTTCTTTATGGATTTAAGGTAGCAATTTTTTTGAGAGAACAGCTTTTTGTTTCATGTACAAATGCTGCATAACTCTGTTGATATCGAGCCGACTTTAAAATGTTGAAATTTGTTAAAAAACGTGCGATTTTATTTAAAAACTGCATTTCGGAAAATTGCAAAAAATTGCATTTCGCAAAATCGGTTGAAAATCTCGGAAGTTACGATGATTTGAAGGTCGAAAACACGATTATGCGAACAAATTACTTTAAATTTTTACCTCCATTAACTCATTTTCAAAATCGCAGATCAGATTGTTTGCCAAGTGTACCTATTCTCGACTCATTCAGTGTCTAAAAGAACATTTGCATTTGCAACAGTTTGGAGCGAAATGAAAACGCTCTGAATAGTGGCACGCGTAAAACTCTCAAATTTGCACATACTTCCACTGTTGACCCTGCAACTCGATCCGTTGTTGTCCTCCAAGAATGGATTGAAGTCAATGAGAAATCACTGTTGTTAGTGAACAGAAGCACTTGAAAAAGTTACCCGTTTTATCCGAAGAAAATTCTAAAGCATACGAAAATAAGTGCGCTATAATTTCGAAAAAGCCGTTATATAAAATTCGTCTCCTAAATTCCTCAAATCTGCACATGCGAGCAGCGTAAATGCTTTCAAAGAAAAACTACATCTCTCGTTGCCATCTACTTTTGCAAGGTGAAATGCTGTATGGCATGCAGAAATATAATAAAATACAAGTCAATAATATGGGACTAAAAGCTCTACATCTACATGGCAACCAGGGGCAAAGTAATGCCAAACTTACCTAAAACTGCATCCTGCCACCTGGAAAGAAAGAAGAACATTCTTTAATATTACTGAAACTTAGTCAAAAGTTTAATTACTTGAAATGAACAGAGGAAATAAAGAGAAATAAAAAATGCCTACAACTTCAGTTTTCAATTTCGAAAAACTAAACTCAGTTCAGGCTCAAGAATTTATAGATTAGAAGTCATGTTTACCAGCTTTCTGCAAGCTGGAGCTGGTCGCCCCATCGACCATTTTCTAACCATCATCCCTCAAAAACTCACACTACACTTAAACAAACAATTTAAATCCACTCCGAATTGAAATCTTTAACCTTTCAGTTGGCAGATAACGGATAATCTAGGCCTTATTGGCACCAAATCATCACCTTTTCCACCTTTTCAAAAAAAAAGTCAAGCGATATTGAGGCTTTTTCCACTTTCCAAAGCCAGCGAACTACAGAATTAACGTGATGATAGGAATAATTATTTTCTCATTTGCGTTTATTTATTGTTGACTGTTTTGTGGAAAGTGCTTGTTTGCACGTAAATATTTCCCTACGCAAGCTTCTGCTTGAAACCAGTTTGGATAGTTGTCGTGAACAAAACAGGTTTCGCAGCCAAATATAAACATCTCCAATCATGGAGCGGAATAGACTTTTTCATACTAGATTCTCTCGGACTCTTGTTCGATTTTAATTCTTATTTAACTTATTAAAATTCGAATACGAAACTTGCTTTTCCACGAGCGCTCGATTTAGCATTTTGCTCAATTTTTATGGAACTGAGTTATAGTCAATTTTTATGAAACAGCTGGATTTGTCGTGCAAACGTGATCTAAAGAGAAGATGCACATTCAATCTGCACGCCTTATTAAGAGCTCTGGATTCATTAGCTTTTATTTTTGGACGCGTTCTCGGATCAGATTTTGTTGAATTTTTTAAAAATTTCAATGGCTCCACGTTCACAAAAGTATACCGATTGAAGTGGAGGAAGTTATAACTCGTTTTGTGAGAAGACAATAGAAGAAATTAGATTTTACTAAAATTACTACGACATATAATAATACAATACTTTTTTAATTACATTTATTATTGTAATTAAATTGTGTCCTGACTGAATGTCTACTACATGAACCCCCCTGACTGAAAACGGGGGCCAGTTAAGATATTAGACGGAGAATACCTGTTTTGTGTGAAATAATTAAGATTCGGTAAACAGAGTGACCAAAAAGTTATGACCGTTTTATTCCATAGATATCGCCTTAGGTCGCTTTTCCTAGCAGTTCCGTTCAAAGCTCAAAAAAAAAATAGAAAAATATAACTTAACACCGACGACAGTGAACTTTTACCCTACAGTAAATTGGTATAAATCATCATATTTTCACCTCAGGAATCCACCACTCTGTTCTGTATCATTAATTTTTTAGAACAATGTATAGCAGAATCTCTATGTTTAATATCTCTCAAAAGACAAGAGGGTTCAAAGAATTCCTGCATTGAAAACATTCAGAAACTTGTAGGTAGATACGATCTTTATGGGTTTCGTTCAAGCTACAATTCCTTTCGAAACATTCTTCGTAAATAATTGTTTTCGCCTTTTAGAGAATTGTGAAACTTTATTGCATTTACCTATTACATAAATGTGAATCAGAAGTGTATTTAAATTTTCTATTTTGCGTGTTTTCTAAAATCTTGTTTAGAAGGTAAGGAAGTTGTAAAAATTAATACAATTGATATATGTATTTTGAAAAACGAATAAATCCTGCATTCGCTTGACTTCTTCGCGTTTTCTTAACACAAAAATTGCAATACAAAATGGCGCAATACATCAAGAGCATAGTAAGTATTTATTTGACATAGATGAACTTGTAGATAAATTTTGTTCAATTGAATCCTTAAATTCAACCGCCCTGATGATGAGTACGTTAAACAGTAAATGTTGTTGTTAAAAAAACAGGAATGTATGGATCCCGAATGGCTCGCGGCATCCATTATTTCTTGTTTTTGATCAACATTAAAAATATAATGTGGATAATATTTCTATCTGATTTTGCATGGAAAATGCTAATATTTTCAATTTGAGAACGAAGTCCTATGATTATTTCAGAATATGTAACAATTGCGCTTTTTTATGTTCTTAGTTAAGTGTCTTATAGACATAGTCAACATTTCAAATTGATACTTGCTTTAGTTTGAAAGATGCGATTTTTTAAATGCGAAATTTATAGCACAAAGTGTCGTTTAAATATAGTGAAATTTTCAAATTGCTACTTGCTTCAGTTTGAAAAATGCGTAATTTTAAACGAGAGAGCGCAGTTTTGCCTTTACTTACAATCGAGAAAACCAAATCTTAGGCTTGTTTCGCTAGGTTTTAGGCGATTCACACGAAACACGGGTGAGCTTTCATTTAGAAACTGGAAATGTACATTGGTATCTTGCAAACGAGAGCAAAATAGCGATGAAAAACCCTGTATTTTGACAGTACCTACCCACACCCTCGTTAACAAAGATAATTAATTTTTACTTGCACAACAAGTTATAAACAATACGGTAGACAAGGGCGTTAATTACATATTGCCTTACACCAGTACATCGCTTTGAACGAAAAACAAAACATCTTTGGCCAAACTACCTTATTTTACCGAACTTCGTGATTAATGTACTATTGCCTTTACACGAGTTATAATTTAATGATTTTGGCAATTTTTCAGATGGTTTCAGCTCATGCATCGGACAATGTGCATTTACTAATGTTATATAAATAGCATATTGTATTAATACTTAAAAATAATCTGATTAATATTTGAATTATTCTATTGGATTCGAAACAGTACTTTAAAAGAATTATTATTATTATTATATAATGTATTTTTCAATTAACAGTAATCAAACGTAAAAAAGTATTATGTTTCAACCTTATTTCCGCGCAAAGGATTTTGAGCACTTGTCCGAAGCGGCCTGTAAAAAACATTCCGTTAACTATTATTTACAAAATTATATCTGCCTCACTTACGTTATTAGTTACTGTATTAGTCAAGACTATTAATTTATGTGTTCATTTTAATTACGTTATTCACGAAATTGCCTGGCTACAACTTTCCTAACACTCAAAACATTTTGTTGACAAAATATTCTCTTATGTTATTATGTACGAAAGATTATCCACATGTTTTTGTAGTTAGCACTGGCCCAAATGTTAATTTTTTGGCTACGTTTCATGTTATATGAGTAACACTGTTTTGTGTATCCTTGAAACTGTCTGATTTTGAAACGCTTACAGTGTGTTAGCGTTTCAATGTTAGATGAAACGAATACGATGTATGCTGTAAAGCAAAGGAGGTTCGAATAAACAATTGTTTATTAAGTTTATTATGTCTCATTTTTCTTACCGACCAGCTCAATTTTATCAAGAAATCTAATCAGACAACCACGCCAACGTAAAAGGATAAATCCTCTAGTCTACAAGGTCGTTATCCAAAATCAACACATATGTTTTTATAATATAAATATAATTATGTTGGTCATAATTTCAGTAGGTACTTATAGCAATATGCGAGTAGTTCCCTTGTATTAAAGTGTTTTTTAAATAATTTTAAAAATTTGTGTTTTGCTCATTTTCATTAACATAAATATGTAGCAATTGATATCCGTATCCTATGTATTTGTAAACATGTATGAACTTTATGTTATAAAATATTTAGTTTTTAGTAACAGTTATCGACCATATCACGGAAGAAAGTGGATTTCAGCATACCAACTCTCCCGTTCTTGAAGAACGCCGAAAAAATTCTAAATTTAATTTAAAAAACCTCCACTGAAATTAAATTATAATTGACAACCTACGAGTGTTTTTTAAACTAATTGTAAGAACGATTTTATAGTTGTAATACTTATTGCTACAAACAAGTTGTCTAAAAAACTCCAAGTTTGCATGGTGTTTTAATAAATTCTCTTATTACTATAACTGTTTATTGCAACACCGTTTTTTGCTTTTCAGGTTCAAATAGAAAAAATGGCCAACTTAAGGAAAAAGCCGTGCGTGAAAGAGCTAAATGCATACTGTACCTGCAAATTATGCCATGGATATTTCATAGACGCGACTACGTTAATTGATTGTCTTCATACATGTAAGTAATCATTATAGATATATTTAGCGTTAAACTTAGTTAAATCATGGAAGTCTAAACGTGGATCATAGTTTTGTGTAGCACAACTAATCAAGTATTGGTACCTATGTAAAATTAAGGAAGTTATTTAGTTCGGGTGGAGTGGTAAAATCATATTTTTAATTGCTGAAAATTGTCTTGTTTTTTTAAATATAACTTGGTGATTTCGCCAATTTATTCGAGAATTTTAATAACAAATACATAAATATGCAGTTGTATCATGATTCACATAGTATTCTATTTCTCAGCAATAAATAATAAGTAAATAAAGTCTGAAACCAGCTATAATAATTTTTGAGAAGAAGGCTGCTAAGTTATTAAATTAAATGTAAATAGTATACCAATGCGGGTTTTTTGAATTGGYCGAATTTAAATGTCAAGCAGTTAAAGGTTGATACCCGACTTTAGATTACCTAGTTAACAAATGTGGTTTGTTTATTATGTTAAGTTGTTGTAATACCTGTGTCATTTTCTATAAGCAGTGCTTGAAATGTTTTGTTATTTCAAGTTTTTGTTTCATTTCAGTTTGCCGAGGTTGCATCTTGCGGCACTTTGACAACAGCAAAGCACAAGTCCAATGTCCCGTGTGTCCGGCTTTGTACAAGAAGAAATCTCAATGCTTCCGGTAAGCTTTAAGTCAAATCAACTACTCTGATCAAGAAAATATTGTGAAAGGTTTAATCGCAAATATTTCTTTAAATGTTTCGGTGAACTGATTATGTACCTACTCTTGGCAAATATTCGTTAATAAGGCATCTTCAAACTTTGAAAAAAATTAATATATTGGTGCTTGTTACAGTTCGGATATGCAAATGCAAGCTCTTGTCTACAAAGTTGTGCCTTATTTGTACTACAAGGAAATGCAAAGAAGGGAAGACTTTTATAGAAGCACAGGAGTAAGAGCAGGAAGCTCTTGCAGTGATGACAGTGTCATTGATAGGGAACGAGATATGATGCACGAAATGGAAGAACTTGTAAGTAACAGGAATTGTGTAGAGGAGCCAAAGCTTAAATTGCCTCTGTTGTTTTCCTGTAGGTATCCCACAATGTTGGGGACAAAACACAGTACTTCAATCAGGACGATTTGATATCATTATCTCTGGAGTATTATCAAGCGCACCTGGACCATACAAACGTGCTCAACTCAAAAAACAGTACAAAGAGTGAAAGTGCGGAAAACAAACCCCAATTGAGCAATCCCGAAAACGGATTGATCAAAACTACCTCAAATATCAGCGTCGACACATCAAGTGACTTAAAGTGCGACAGCAATCAAACAAGTGCTAAAAACAATGGCAAGGTTTCGGACAATATTTCTACCGATTCGGTTCCTAAAGAGTGCGATATTCGGTATTTACGATGTCCCGCCGGGATCAACATGAAACATCTACAAAAGTTTTTAAGGATGAAGTACGGCCTTACGGGAGATCACAGGGTAAGTCGTTCACAGGWGCTACTGAATTGACTTATTCTAATATTTTAAATTAAGTCATGCTGATGCATGGTTTAGTTGTATTTTGACCTAGCAAGTTAGAACTTAGTTGGATTTAGGCAAATCATTTCGGGGTGAAAGCTTCACAAGGGWAGAAAATGGTTATKATTGGCATATTWCKYARTYATTGAAAWTGGCWWAWMACTTCCGGCGTTAAAGCCGCTATGGAAAATAWTTCTTCCAGTCGTTTTGCAAGCTCAAGCATCTTCAGARGAGATTTTGCTTGATAGTTTACAATGRATCCGTCATCAGTCGTGCTTGTRTCACGCCGAAAAAAATATTTACGACGGTCTAAAAATCCGAGAGGTTGCAAAAAACATGTTCACTGACTGAACTGATCATTTCTCGTCATTATTAGATTTCCATTATGTTCTTAGGCAGAACACTAGACATTTTATTTGGATTTTATGGATTTTATACCATATTTCCTTTCAATAAACTTAGACTATCCCGTTAAAATGTCTAGTGTTCGCTTTTTCGTTCCGCTAAAAGGAACAGATTTTCAAAGAATTTTCAAAGAAAGAATTTCGAAATCACAAAATCGTTAATTCAAATTTTTATATAATCGTTCCCAACTCGAGGGACATTTACAAGTTAACGTTTTGCCTTGTTATTGCCTATGAACAACAATTGGTTTGGCCATTTTTTTAAAAAACCTTTTCCAAGCCATAATATTTTGACTTTGATTATTGTGTTACACCCGTTACAATCGCTTTTTACTGGAATGAATGAAATTGTGTAGCCAACTTGCTTTCGAACAGCAGATAACCAGAGTTTCTCATAATAGACGATCTTTTTTGATATTGAAGTGGGTAACATCTTTTAATGTATATTTTTAATGTCCCTAGATTATTCAGTTCTACATCGCGCATTTATCTTCAAAGAGATAACAATAATGCTCTCAACCGTAAGACTGTTCTGTTGTGGACTGGCGTTAAAATGGCCTTGCGAAAAATTTCAAGAAAACTAAAGTTTAATTGGAACCACGTTGTTAATAAACAGAACTTTAACCATTGGACAAATTAAATCCTCAAGAAATTCAAGCAAAGTATCTCAATATCCAAAAGTATTTGCTTGGTGTGATGCTGCAATTATTGGTCATCGTCTAGGAGTAAAGTCCAAGGGTTTCGCTAATGTACCTACTAGAGATTTTTATTCCTAATTGAGAAAAATGAGGATTCTTAAATAATGCGCTAATATTCCAGCAAGATCGATCAACTGTTTTACTCTATGGGAGTTCTACTAGAAGGGCGGCTGGTTTTACAATTTGGGGATATAATAATATAAATTTGGGGCGTCCGAATTACATTTTATCGAGCTAACAAAATGGGTAGTCTGTTATGGAAAGTCCTGTACAATCTATCCTGTTAAAACAACCCACTTGACCATAATGCTAAAAGTCATTATTTTCTGCTTCAGGTGGACATCATTTATAAAGGGGAGGTGCTGCATAGCGACTTCAGCCTGATGGATATTGCATATACTTTTCAATGGGAAAAGGTAAGTGTCCAATTCATAGATAATTGTTTTTTCAAAATCTTTACTAGTGCACACAAATAATTTGGTATCTGAAATAAACGCATTGGATTGCGGAAATATTTCCGCTGAATTTAGCTGATAAAACCTGTTATAAAGATATGCGCGCTAAGGAAAGCAAACAGTATCCGGTGTCAAGATTATTTTAGCTGCTAGGTTGCAAAGCTACGTTTATTTTTTTCAATAATCACATTTTTCAATTCGGCTCTTTAACAACAAACCCTAAAAAAGTCACCCAAAGTGAAACAGACTTACAGATTTTCTGCTTGATTATTAAAAGAAAAACTGAATTTGAAATTGTGTGCAATTTTTACCAGCACCCTGGACTTAGAGGTTTAGACTTTTTTGGAGGTATATTACGGTTTGGCTCTCATTATAAAATCGAATAGGTTGCTGCTTTCTAGAAATGTCCAGTTGAAATATTAATAGGTAAAGACCAAACCTGAATAAATATTTTTGTCTGGTGCATATTACGCTTTGGTGCATAGAATTAAATTTCATTTCTTTCACCCTAAACAATATTCTTGGTTATAACAAATGCTCCGACTACGTATATTACGAGAAATTTGCATAATAGAACAGCCTTGCTGTCTTGATGCCTAGTTGTAACATTTTTACGGCTACTAAAAAGTCAACGTATACGTTCTGTTTAGCTCGAAATAACTAGACTGTAAAGAATATATGTAACTGTCTACTACAAACTGTACATTTCCTTTTCTGCTTCAATTCAATATGAAGACGTGAAATAAGATTTCTATAATGGTTAAGTTATGGTTACATGTTTTTAACGTTGCTCAATAAATTAGTTTTCAACGATTTCACACAACGCCAGTGTAACAACATAGTGGAAATAGTAGAAGATCTTTCAAATATAAAAACGGTTTTTTTTCGATAACTTGAACAATGGGTATATATTCCGTGCTGATATTTAAGTAGACGCAAAAAGCCATAAAATAAGTCTAACAATGTTATCACCTTGTCCTGTTATCGAAACCTTTCATAACCAGCGAATTTATGGCAAAAACCTGCAGTCATTATTCGCAAGTTTCACAGCTTGTTAAGAGTTACATCGGATCGGATAAAATAAATTAAGTTTGTTAAATACGGACAGAATGTGGAACTACAAAAGGCTGTTTGGATATCTAATTAGAAATATAATTGGCGACTTGTTGCGTTAATTGCTGGCCGGAAACCTCCTCTACATTCTACATAACCGAAAATTAGTGTTTGAATATGAATTTAAATTCTGAAATTTTTTCCACTTAACTAACCGTTTAACCAGATTATCGCAACAGAATCAACAATCAGAATACAGATAAAAAGCAATTTGCAAGGTCAATTGTCTTGTCTTTCATTCAGGTGAAACACTTCCAGTCGAAAGGCGGGCAGTTCAGAGAAATTTGCTTAAAGCGGCAGGGGCTTTCTTGCCTCGTGCGGTGGTAAACTGACGGCAGAACAATTATCAGAAGCAACACGGGAGGGCGAAAGAATGGGAAAGAGAGAAGGAAAATGGGGTGCCCTGATCATTTCAATGCGAAATTATCGAGCGGGATTGTTTGTCCTTGTTTCACATTTAAATTGAACTTTGTGAGTGGTCGGACAGGGGTGGATTGCATGGAGATATATTAGGGTGGGTATTTCGCTTCCATGTGGGCAAGCCGGACCCAAATCCCAGATTGTATGTTTTTGGTGTTTGGTTGTGGAAGAATTCTCAACCAACATTACGCGGTACCTACATAAAATAAAAGCTACATTTTATTTGCTAAGGAAAATCCTTTGACTGGTAGAACTTGTAAACAGATCATATACATTTGTAATAAAATGAAATTAATAAACATGTTGCAACAAAAGGTCACATCAATGGAAACAGTTCTTGATAAACTAATCGATTTATTAAATTAAAGAGCAGTTAATTAACAATTAAACTACGCAAATTTTTATTTAATTACTATAGTATTTAGGATTATTTATTATTAGGAAGTAATATAGAAATAATTAGGTTCCTATAAAGCGTTATGATAAAGCCAAACCATTTTATTTTTATTGCTTCAAGATCTAAGCGATCAAAATCAATGTCTGCCGATTGCAATGCTGTCATAAAATGCAAAGAATAGCTATAAACCAATGAGATTTATTGAAGATAATTTGACAAGGAGACATTAATCAATGCGGGAATGTTGGAACCGGAAAACAAGAACTTGCTATTCAACAGGTCAACATTTCAAGGAAGGAGATCGCTAAATGCTTGGTGTGGTCTTCTCAGGAATCAAATCATTGGGCCAATGCTTTTTCAAGTTCCAATTAAGCGGCAAAGCACTTAATTTTTTTTAGTTAGTACCTACTCAAGTATTTGAAGTTATGTTTGTTCGACTTTACCAAGTCTCCCATGAAGTCCTTGTTGCATAAATTATCAAATTACTGCGTGTAATTTGGTTTTTTGAGCCAAAATGGGAATACGAACAATCTTATCAATTTTTCGATATCTAATCGCTTTTCACTATACATTTATGTTCACTAAAGAAATCAATGTCGGTCGATAAACTGTCTCCAAATTATCTCAGGCACCTTATTTATTTAGACATAAAATGTTCAGTCTTTTTTCAGTTTATTTTTACTCATATATTTCATACTAAAAAGCCTTTTTTTCATCGAAAACGCGTATCATGTTATCATTAACGGTAAATTTTTAGGGCGTGTTATTCCGCAAACTTAAATAATTATTTTATTTTACACGAAACCCTGAATCTTGGTCATGATTTCAGTTGCCTCTTTCTATATTTTAAGTTGTCTATGGTTTTAATATTAAAGTGTGAGGTACATTTTAAATTAGCTTGGGAAAAATTAAAGGAATTAAAAATTAGTTTGGGATGCAGTCACACATTACTTCTAAAAAATTTGAACCTTTTCTTATATAGACAGCTGCTGTAGTATCATAATTTCCTATGCCAAATATTTACTAAACGATAATGGCTGTTTAGATATGCGGCATTTTACTACCGGCCCAGAGCATAATAAAATCATTGAAAATGCAACTTCTGAAGCGTACCAAGTGTCGGAAGTAGACCACAAGAAATTTGTACAGATTACATTTGAACATTACAGTATTTTATGCATAGTTTTAATGTCTTTTTCAACAATTAATCAGAACAACATTTTTGCCATCTATTTTTTTCTGTTAAGTATCTATTTTTATTGGGATTATCCCAATATCTGATATTTTTTTATTGTCTTCACTTTTGTGTCATTTTTGTATTTTGCAGTTTTTATTTTTCACTTTATTTTCAGATTGTCTGTAGTTTGCCTAAATAGTATTCGGCAATGTAATTTAATTATTTCCGTTTTCATTTACAATGTTAAATGTGTCAATTCCCTTAAATGGTTCTTGTTTCTGTTTATTATAAGACAATATATTACAACAAAACATTCATTTGCCAACATTCATAAAAAAACTTAAAAATCCAAGACACTTCATGTCAATAAACTGTTTAAAGGAATCTTAAAACCGCAAAGTTTACGCGACCGTTAAATTGCATAAGTACTGTTGAGATAACATCGTTTTTACGTTGCATGTTTAATAAACTTTTGCTGGATGTGATCCAACCTGCTTTGCCATTATAATGCGGCGACCGAAATATACTGGAAAATGGCTCGGCAGATGAAACACATTTAAAGAAAAATAATCTATTTTTCGAAAAGCCCTTTTCCAATTCCTAAATGAGATTAATTAATTTATATATGTATCTATATTTAGTAGTCGTAAATTTTGCATATCCTTCTTTCTTCATGCACGTCGTTACATATGAGGAGTTCGGTTGAAATGAGCAACACTAAAAAAATCTAGTTTTAGTTTACGTTTCTTTCGCCAATATTTAAAAATACATTTTGCCGGGTTTTTCCACTAGTTTTCTTACAAACAACTGCCGAAACTTAAACTTCCATCAGATGGAGAACGCATATCAACACTCGAAAAGAGCCCATTAATTTTAGTCGGCCAATCTTTAATACGACGCAGAGCTTAAGAAAGCGCAAATAAGGACAAAGTACACAATGATCGTGATTGCTTTGCACATGTTGACTCCTTTTAAGGCCGTAAAACTTCCACGAAGTTAAATAAAACTAAGTAAATCCGATGCTCTAAACCAGTCAAGTGGTCCATTCAAATGCAAACGACTTCGTGTTGGCAATTATCGCCTTAACAAATGATTCCGCTAGCGTGGCCTGCATATCCAGCAGGAGGAAGAATGAGAGGCAACTGTAAAAGATGAGGATGGAGATACAAATTCGATACTGAATTTATGCAGTTTGGGTGGTTTTGTATTGAAATGGAGCAGTGATATGGGAGATGACAGTTTGTTTTTTCTCCCTTCTTCTAAAAGTTGCTGAAAGGGGAATTATTCAATAAAATTGTGTCTGCTGAGAACGAATCCAATCAATTATTTTGTGTTTGTTTTTCGTTTACTTTATGTATGAAACCGCTGCTATTGAGTTACGATTATAATAATGCGACCTACTTTGGGTTTAAACGTTTGTATCTATTTTTTTCTTCTCGGCATGTTTAATTTATGAATTTTTAAATTAAAGCGTTATTGGTTATTAACTGGTTATTAACCCAATTAATAAAAAAATAGTGAAAATTTAAGTAAAATTGTTTAGAAAGTACCTTCAGATTGAAAAGAATGAAAGTCTAATGGACTGTTAGACACCTTTGTATGGTAATTCTGGGCTTTTTAGAACAAGCAAAATAGACAGTCGTATTCATTGTGTTCTGTTGACGTCAGGTCTATATTTCAATGCGATCCGAGTACCACGAATCTTTCTCTAATTTGCATTAAAATGATCGTTCGTTACGTAAATTCATTATTTGAACACGTCAATACGTCTTATAGTAGTTCAATTTCAAGAAACAGTTCGCATAATTTGGAGTTATTTGCAAGCATAAATGAAATACCTGTAAATGTTCAGAA